CCAACATCTCCTGCTGACAAAGAAATGATATCTTTCAAATATTGTGGTCTCATTCCATCTAAACCTGGTGAAAAGCCGGCAGAAAAATAAATGATAACTACTCGATTCTGTTCATTATCTATTAGAGAAGAGTCCTTGGTTTGAAAGCGTCTGGGAAAAGAAGTTCACGAGATGGTAAGTTCGTCAGCAACATTTTCATTAAACGGAGCTAAAGAGTCATCGGAGGTTAACAATTTCCCAGCTTCTCTGATGTCGAAATCACCTACTTTTGTTTCGACTTTATTTGTTAAGGATAAATATTTGAAACCGTTTGAAGATCAGATAAATTAAAATTAGAAAAATTTTCCCGAGATGTTTTCCGAATTTAAAATTAGATGGTTTGTAGAACAAGAATCTTCTTTATGACATCGAGAGGTGTGAGTTTTCAAACCATTAATATCCGGACAAAATTGGCATTGAACTGTCGAAATGATGACATTTGGGGCATTATTTTCCTTTAAAATTCCAATCGTTTTCGTTAGATACAGAGTGGCCTAACGAGAAGTATACAGAGGGCTTTTAGGGTACTAAATTTATAAAATTCGAAAAATCCTCGAACACGTCAATTTTGTATTCGAGGGGGACAACTTTTGGAATACCAATCACGAACCCAAGTCTTCACCCCTCTACGTAGGGAGCTTAACCCCTAAAATTTTAAATGGAATCCTATGGCAAATGGCACATTATTTGAAAGCCAATTTAATCGTGATTACTAATCTGCTTTGCTTTTTAAATTCTATTGATTCGTTTCGGAGATATCGCATTTGAGATGGTTTTTTCTAAAAAAACCAAAACAAATGCGATCTAAGTCACTTTGTATTAAAATTTTTGCATTTTGTTCCTTAACTCATCAAGTATGTACACAACAAATTTCGTGGAATTATCTTCATTTTCGTTGTCCGGTCAAAAATTGCAGCGGAACTTTTTTTTTCGAATTGTCAAAATCTACTTTCAGAATCTTGATTTTCGTGTTCAAAAACCCCCCGGTTCACAATTTCGTCGAAATCAGAATTTTTTTCGCACACCCATTTAGGCCCCTGCCCTTTCGTGTTGAAAAAAATTTTGCAAAATCGGAAAGAGATACTCAAAACCTATTCAAAGACGCGCCACCAGTCATTCTAACTCTTATGGTTACCGAGAAAAAAATTAAAGAAATGCAAATTTCACCACTTTTATGAGGATTTAATTGGAAAAAGTGCTCTACCACCCACTTTTTTTACATACCTATATGTAACACCGAGTGTAACACGCTATATAACTAAATTCGGCCCCAAGAGAGAGTCGTACTTCAATTTTTAAGTTGTGTCATTTCAATGACGAGCTTTGTGTTCCATTTTTAGTGCACTTTCACTTTTAAAAAAATAAAAAGTGCACTTTTCGCTCTTGTTTTAATTAAAAATTTCAATTTTCATATAGAACTTTTGATTAATATTATGTCATGAGTAAAGTGAAAGGACGTAGAAAAAAAAATGAAGGTTTCATGACGATTTCGGGAAACACTTTTTTTTAACTTATGTTTGTGTTTTATGCAAAACAATGCTGACCTTCTTGTGGATCATGTTCTTTAGTAAGGTTACCTAGTGTTAACCTTTTACAGACCGTCAATTAATACCCATTCCAGATTGTAATTCCACTGTTGTAAAAGGGTCCAATTTACACCTTAGGAAAACGAACGAAAGTGGTGGTTTTCAAAGCACTGCCTAGTGAGGAAAAACTGGGAAAGAAAGTGCGGTACCTACATTACAACGCTAATAATTATTATGCAAAGTCAAACTTGTTACAGAAGAAGGTTATCTAGTAGGTACCTACTCATTTTTATTAATCGATTACCTACACGATCTGGTTTAAGTATCTGTTAAGCAAAGTAAAGGACCAAAGGTAATTTTCAAGTACGTAGAAAATTGTTTAAACACTGTACAGACCAAGAGCTGCACAAAGGATAGGTACAACGTCTTTGTTCGTTGGATACCTATTAAAAAACATGTTAAGTGTCCTCAGAAGACGTACGACCGATTTAATTACACGGAGGGCACAACACCACCGCCTCAGGCATGGAAAAGATTAAAGCAAGAGTCTAAGGCATGGATCAGATTAATCTTAATAGTTAACCGCTCGTTTTAAGTTTAACAAATTTAGCTACGGCCAACACGCTCTTTGTTGCGATCTCTTTTCGTGAGACTAATTTTAGTAGCGTTAATAGTTGGGAGTAAAAATAGTAAGTATTTAAAAGAATTCAATTTCAAAGTACGATCACTTGACAAATAGTCCGCCATGCGATTCAAATTAAAACTGGCACGTTATATCCAACCTTTGTTTAGTTAATAAAAATATTGGAATTCCGATGTCGAAGACCCATCTGGCAGAAATTTAAGTTAGGAAGTAAGGAGACCACATTTTGTGTTTAAATGTCTTGCATCTTATAAATGGTTTTCAGGCCGATCTTCCGGTTAAGTTGAACTAGTAATAGCCGTAAAGACTATCAGAAATAGAAAATTCTCTGGGGGTTTCCATGCATTACCTCGAGTGTGTTTATACATTGTATTCCTCCTCATATGTAAAACCATGTTTCGATTTAAACTTTTGCATCCTTTTTTCTGTAACGGTATCACTTTTGTAAAAACACCTCTCCAGATACCCATCATCTCTTGGGGAGGTGATCCGCACTCTTTTAAGAACTTAATTACACTCCAGTATTTCATTTAGCAAGTTTCTTTCCCACACAGGATGTCATACCTTAAAACCTTAAAATTAAAGGGGTTCTTTCCTTAACTATCCTGCCCATTTTGGTTCCCCAATATCAATAGAATTCTTTCCCCGATTACTCCTAGTTCTTATGCTTTGTTTTTTTTTCGAAGAGCATTACAATTTTTTGGAAAAATTTGTAAATATTTGCTTTCGGGCCAGTCTGTCCCACACTCTATCCCCAATTCATGTGACCATATTAAAAGGATTCTTTCCCTTCGATCTTGAACTAATCTTTTATCCCGAATTTAAATATCTGTAGATTTAATCTGTGAGTGCCTAATTCTCAGAGGCTTTTTAAGGGATGACCCCTTGCATCTAAAGCAGCCCCCCTACTTTAAGTTGAAATCATATGAATCTGTAGTTTATTTAGTCAGATTTGTTGTTATAGATATACAGGGTGAACTTCTCTTTTCCTGATTATTTTAATTGAACTTTACGAGCCCAGTTTATTCATTACTTCATTATTTTCCTTTGGAAAAAATGCTCCGTCTATAGGTTTTTATATCTTTTGTAATTAAAGACGTACCTATACCACTTGATATAGATATTATAGTAAATTAATAAATTATCGAGTATTTTTGTTTTGATTGCATAGGGGGATACGTTGCCGGTTGTAATATGGGAATCTGGACGTGAGAAGATGCTCGGTTCTCGTTAACCCAGCTAGTAAGTGTAGCACGTTTCAATATAGGACAAGGTACACATTTTATTTCTTGTAATAGATCCTGACAATTTGGGGTGCGTGATATTAATGGTATGATTGCTTGATTTATTGATTATATCACTGTGCCTCTCATATATGAAGAATTCATTGATGTTAAGTAAATTTGTTGTTGCGCCCCTAAACTAGAATTCGTTCCTATAGTTATTCCTTTGAAAGTCGCTTCAAAAAAGTTATCCTAGCTCGTCCTGTATATAACTATTTCGCCTGCCCCACTTATTATGTGCGGCGCATTAGCCGTCGAAATTAGAATTAGAATACAAGATGTCACCGTACAACCATCAATAATGAGCGTGTCTGTTAAAAGGTAGCATACCATTTTTATCGACCTCATCTGTACAGCGCTGTGAAAGCTTGTATAATGTTGAATTAGGGAATTAGAAATATATCAAGCGCGATTAGAAAGCAAGAAGTAAATATAGTAAATTAATTATTGCGGTACGTGTGTATATTCGGGATGGGGTAAATGAAGCGGATCATTGTAATTAAAATAACAGTATAGAGAGCGAGTTGAATACGTTTATCCTTAACCTTAAGATGTCAGGATTACTCACTGGCGGCTAGGCGGAGCACTTTATATATATAATTACATTACATGATCCACCACCAATTTAGTTAACAGGTGTGAACATTAACCAGAGGTAGGTTGGTGTAGAAAAAGTAATTGTAATTCCCGTTACAAAATTCACCATCTAATCGTTGCTCTTCTCGTTTCCAAAGCTCACCCTTTATATTATAAAATCCAGTGTTTAGACATACCTAATATTTACTCTATGCTAATGTCAATTAGTTAGCCTACAATAGCGAAATCTCAAAGCCTCCAAAATTAAAATGCGGTTCTGGTGATGTCCTAACTGTAGTGACAACATTAGTCTGATATTAGTATGACGAATCCACCACTAAAAATAACTCTAAAGTGCGTTAGCACATTTCACCCAAGAACCCCTGTCTCCTGGGGGTTTATCCAATTACCTATTGTTTTTAGTTGGATTCTAAATGTTTACTCCTGGTCCTCTGACCGCTAGGCCTTTGACAAATCTGCCTAAAAGCTTGGAATAAATAGTGAATTTTTTCTATGCCAAAAAGGGAATAGGGGAAAATGCCCCAGTCCTCCCAAAGTATGATTAGTCCACCTCAAAATCAATAAGGTTGTGTCTCTAAGGACACCGGAGTGCTAGGCAAACGATAAATTAAAAGTTTTAATGCTTTCTAAATAGTCCAATTGTTATGAAAGATTCGTCGCAAGTACATATATAAGTACTTTTATAGGCAACTCATTCTACGCAGCCGAGATGGTACGAAAGTTATAAAATTTGTTCCATGAAAACATTGCACACAGATGCTGTAATATAGGCAACCCACTCTACAACTCTGTATATCAAATTAATCAAAGCCTTCAAACACAAAGGTTTCGAAAAGTCAACCGCGATCTTTATGACCTACACAGCCCAAAATTAAAACTACAGTAGATATATTCATAAAACGAAAACCGTAGTTGGTACATTAGGAGTCAATTATTACGCACAGACAGACGGACATATGTAAACTGTAAAAACTTACCAATTCTTTTGGGAGGCGAAGCCCCGCTCAGATCGCTAGCGGAACTGTGCAAACTTCCAGCGTTATTTATTTTCGTTATTGTCGTATCTGAGCGTGCCCGTGTTCTTCTCCTGCGAACAGACCATTTAATGCAAAATTCGGAATAATCAGAGCGCTTACAGTTTATTATTTGGTGTGACATTTGGCCGCGGCGGCGTCGGGCTATTATTAGTGAACACTTTGGATTTGATTTCCTTAAAGCTACTGGGATTTTTGGTAATTTTGTTCATGACCGCGTCCCAACGGCCAACGGTTTTTTTTGGGGCGGCATTCGTTGCGTTTTCCTTGCGCGGCGGGGTGCTGGATTGGAGCACCGCTTTCACCTTTGAAGCGACGTTCCTCTTTGGCATTTTGTATTTTTTTGAGGCGCTATCTTCTCGGGGCGTATGTCTTGGTGAACGTACGCTTGCCGGACTAGACGCGGCGGTTGAAGGCGTAGGGGATTTGCCTTTCAACTGCATTTCGGTACTCTTCTCCTTTTTTTCGGCGGAACCCGGTTTTGTCGCCGATCCCGTTTTGGTTATGGTTTTATTCAAAAGAGCGGGCGCGTTATTTTGACTATCGTTCGAGATTGTTTTGCTAGACGTGTCCGATGGAGAAGGTGACACGTCTACGTTTTCATTTTCTGCACTTGATAGCTCATCGGTTCTCGTATTACCTTCGATGTCCGTAAATATCCCACTCGAATCCATATTTTCGCGGTTGTTAACGTAAATATCAGCTGCAGCTTGTGGATCAACCCCATACAGTGTACCGTCAATGATCCTTGCCAGTCGATCACCTCTCAATGGCGGCTCCTCGTGATTATCGGCATCGCTCTCGGTGTAAAAATCAGAGTCCGTTAGCGGATCGGGGCGACGAGGTTGGGGGCGAGGCATCGGTCTTCTGGTAAGTGGCGAGTGATCCGCACCTCTACTAGCTGGGCGCGACATTTCTCCATCGCCCTGATACCCAGTATCTAGACTAGTAATGCTAGTTATGCTAGTAATAAAACTGTTGCTGGTAGTTTTTGACTTTGTCTGTTCCGATTTTGAGTCGCACTCGATAACCGGTGTAGGATCTAGTGGCAAGTCTTCAGGCGATGGCGTTTGTTCTAACCGGGCCATGGCGTACGATTTTGATTTGGACAAAGAATCTAGGGGCAATTCCAAGTTTGTGGCATCCGATTTAATCGCAAAGCTCAGCAGCATGTTTTCGTCAATGATTCCTAAACTCAAGTCCTTGATGCTTACGTCGGGTAGATTTGGGCTCGACATCTCTGGCGGTTTGGTTTCGGATTGGTATTTGGGCTGGAAGTTTTGGAAATCAGTGGGGAGGGCGCTGATGTTTTCCGAGGAGAGGCTCCTGCACTCTGGAAACGCGGAGAAGTCCGTCATTTGTTCCGGTGTTAGTATGCCTAGGGATTCTTCAAATTCGAGAGAGTTTCGTTTGGTGTTGTCATCGTCAGTCGCCGGACTATAGGTGGGAGTGCCTTTTACTCTTCTCCTTCGTAAGGAATTTTCAATATCGGCCTCTGAGTACAGTTGTGTGGGATGAGTTAGTGGTGCAAGATTTTGGGATTCAATGCCGTGCAATTTCAGACATTTCAGTTTCGGTTCCCCTACAAATGTGTCATTTAAGTTTTTGCCGGAGTCACTAATTTGTGTCGTCTTTGTTCTTTGTGCAGGTGAAGACGTGTAGGTGGTTTTTTTAACTTTGCTCTCAGAGTAAACTAAGGTACTATTAAGGCTTGAGCTGGTACAAGGTACACACGTAAGCGACTTTGGTACTCTCCTTTTATCTTTAGTGACTAGAGGTGCGGGATGCGTTATTGTCTCGTTGATACGGTCTTCAGATTTTGCCGAAATTCTTGTTGAATTCACAATGTCAGGGAAATTATTTTCATTCAAGTACGACAATGTTTCGTCAGCGTTGCCAGATATTTCACATTCGTTAGTATCACAAACGTCATATGTGTTGTTATAACGTCCGCAGTCTTCTTCCGATTTGTCGTAAGTATCGGATTTTATAAGAGTCCTGTTGACTGGATTTTTTTCGGGAATTTGTATACTTTCGTAAGTATCTGACCTAATTAAACTCTTTGGTAAATTACTTGGTTCCCCTTCACAAGTGTTACCCGAACTCACGAATGTTTCATTTACGTCTATCCTTTCTAGATCCTTCCCCACAAGTCCATCCTTAATTCCAAAAAGCATACTATGAGGACCGGAGTGAATGCTTTCGCCGTCATCAAATTCATTGACTTCAACTAGAGAAACCTTGCATAATGGAGCCATCAAACCACGGGAATCTGGACAAGCGAAGTAACGTACACCGCGCACGCATCCATCGTTCTTTCCGTTTGCCTTAACCAATTCCACGCCGCACCAAACGCCTGGGGAAAAGTGCACGGTTCCAATAAAACGCAAGATGCCCTCCTTGTCAGCGACACGAACCTGTTTACCAAGATCTTTACGGGATAATTCGCAAATCGGCGTCGGCTCACTTGGAGAAATTGACACGGTATCTTCGGCGAATTGTCCTGGGAGCGGTATTCTGGAACCAAAGATCGGAATTCGCGTCTGGATCGAACGCTGAAAAGAAAAGAAAAGTGTTAAATGCTGTTTCATATTTTATTGGATAACTTATTAAATATTACGGTTGCGTCACTGAGGCTTATTACACGAGAAATGTTATAGTATAGCTGTCCTTCAACACGATCAACGAGGTACATAATTTCTATTGCTAACATATTTTATAGAGGACGCTCACTCACTTTTTCCCAATTTGCATACAAGATTCATGAACGAATTTTCTAGCGATTTAGGGCCATGGAGATAACGTGAAAACTACCTTTTTATATGCCAGGTCAAGTACCCGTACCCACTATTGTTGATAAGTGTTTGTAAAATATACTGCGAAGTTGAGGCCAAAGGGTAGGTAAGGTTAATTAGCTTCCCAGGATTTCTTTTTGTTGTTCACGTTCTCATATTACTCAGTAAGGAAAACAGTTAACATCCTTGAATTTATTACAGATACGAATGTTTATTACTACGTAACCCGTACGAGGGCAAAAGTTTTAGCAATGTTATATTACCGAACGCTAACTATATTATTCTTATTTAATTATTCCCAGTTTGCATTCAAATTAAATTCAGGTGCAACAACCGATTTCCGAAAACACTGGAAACTATCCACCTAAAGATTTAATAATTCGTAACAAAGGTTGCGTTTCTGCATTACTAATGCCAGTTATAAAGTTTCCTTAGATTCTAAGAAACGGAAACAAGAGTTGGTTTTTCTCTCTCATTTCTTCCAAAAAATGAAATACAAATAAAAAAGAATATGAAAATTGTTTGAGAAAAATTTTTTAAGTTTTGATCATGAGGGAACACCCTGTACATAGGTATTTAAATATTTTGAAAAAAAATTAAATTCCTTTTAAAAATATTTAAAAAATACCCACTCCTGATCGCAGAACTTAAAAATCTTTAAGCGTTCCATATAAAATTCCATATTACCAAAAAAGCAGAAAATGCACAGTTTTTGGAAAGCGTTCTTAGCATATGTAATTGTATGTTCTTTCTGTATGATAAAAGAAAAAAAATTGCTTGCTAATTAATTCCAGTTTTTTTATTAACGTGACTAGACTATACAGGACCTTCATGATTGCATGTACAGGATCTTACAAGTATCTATACAAAATTTTTAATGTAAAAACGCGCAATTAAAAATACTAATCGACGTTTCCGAGGAATTGTAGATCAATCCGTCCCTTTCAGCATGAAGGGGTGTAAGCTTAGCAAAAAAATGCGCATAAAATTTAAATAAAGCTGAATTCAGTACCTATTATTTTTTAAAGAAATTAAACACACCATTAAAAATTGGTAGGAAAGTTGCAAAAGACGCGGTTTAAATAATCATCAATTAGGTCATCGGATTCAAACGCTTACTGTAATATCTTTAGATCACTACCAATTGTGCCGAAATAAAACAAGAAAACGACTCTCAAGCAGCACAGGATTGAAGCACCAATATTGAAAATGAGTACTTTCTAACAACAATTTGTGCCTACGATGAGGTCAAGATGCTCTTGGCTTTATATCAATATTTTCAAAACAAATAAAATTTCTAATTTAAACTAATTAAAACAATTTCATCAGCGTACTGCACCAGGTACCAATTCGTGTCATCGAAAATGGCCCGCTATAAAAAAATCGTCTAGTTCACTTTACGATAGACACACCTGCAACATCATTATCAAGATGTGCTACTATTTATAATCAACAACCGAAGACTTATAACGGCATGTTACAATTCCTCCTACGTACAGAAGAGGAACACCCATCAGTTTAAGTATTTTTATTGTGGGTGGGTAGCTTAGTAATGATCCCAATCTCAATCCCAGACTGATTTTTGTTAGTTTTTCATCGCCGTAAACACTAATTGCGAAATACAGGAATCAACAAACGAGCGTTGGCAAACTTTTCTAAATATAAAAGTGGCTAAAATTACACTCCTTTCATTGTCCTATTACAACATTTACTACACGAAATGAAAAATGTCTTTCGAAAAACTCGTAAAACTCGGCAATTGAAAAATTCTTTCGACAATTTTCTAAATTACCCAATTAAGGTTTTCATATACAGAGGTGTTAATTAGAATCACTAATTGCTTCTATAATCCAACACATGTCGTAATTGTTATTATTGTTGTGTTTTTACTTCTATAAAAATATCCTAGAGAAAATTGTGAGGCGCTCGTGGAAAAATTTTGTTCCTCCAAAAATATAGTTCAAATACGCAGTCAAAATGCAAACAATAAACGTTTTAAAAAATGTATTAATAATGAAGGTTTTGCGGTACGTTATTGTAGACAATTAGCATGTGGCTTATAAAGCGTCATTATATTTATAATTAGAGGAAATGACAATTTCCTTACGGAAAAAAAAGATTTAATTAAGGACATTTTCAATACCTATCTCAGTTGAACAAACTTTTCTCGTTTCTGGGGAACGCTACAGCAATTTCAAACCTACGAAAAAGGTTATAAATGTCATTTGTACTACCCCACAAACTAACAAAAATAGGGTTGGCCTTTATGGGACCCTTGTTCTTACGTTATACTTGGTGGGTTTCTTAGATTACGAGTGTTAAGAACACCATTGATTTAGTTAATCCAAAGTTTTCTTTTTAACCATATAGAGCTTTTTTTTAGTAGTAAGGGACAACACATTTTGATTATATTTCCTCCATCTGGTAGTATTCCTGCACAGCAAACTTTCAGGTAACTCAGTTCTCGCACCCTTTTAATCTCTCTATTTGCGCTAAATTAAAAAGAGCCATAACGTAATGTACCTAATAATTTTATTACCAAAAGAACCATAATAATCATGAAGTGAAGTATCTAAGTATCCGACAAACTTGACCTAATTAAGAAAAAAAATTCAATTTCTTTCTTCAACAGAAAGTTCCCCTAAAACATGCTTTGTGGGTGATTGCAAACAGAATTTCGACTGTCATGGTGACAATGTGAAATTCTCACAGTCGTAATTAAGTGATCAGTCACCTCAATGAACTGATAGAAAAGGAAATGGTATATTAGAAAATGATAATTAGCAGGTGCGACTCCTGTATTCCAAAATTCTCGGCAGTTATTAGGGAGTAATAAACTTACCGGCTCACCGAGTTTGTTTATCAACTTAAACGTGTAGTTAAATGTGATAAAAGTGCAGTACCGCACTTCCTGTAGGGGAAACGCATGAACATTTCCATTTAAAATTTGTTAATTTCGTGAGCTCCAACAAGTTGCAAAATAATTACCTAAGTGTAGGTAACCCAAAGTGATAACTTTACCGTAAGTCTAAATTGGGTGTAATATTCACCTGGAGTGTATAACGAATGCACACACAACTAAAACTAATAACCTTTGTAGTATTACTGCGCAATTATCAACGTCGAAGTTGCCGATAGATTAGAAAATCCAGAAAAAGTAGACGCAAAGGTTACTAAGGATCAAATACGCCAGCAAACACGCAAAACAGGGAAAAAAGAAAGGAAAAGATACCTACATCACGTTATACGAGGGTGATATCGATTATGTAAAAATTGGTAAACCCGTTCGTTTTTGTATAAAGGATTATGACCCCGTATAAATCGGTTAACCTTTTGAAAGGTTACTCGAAGCTGAACTTGCTTTTTAGTGCTTTTTTCGAAATTTCCAGTGCAATCTTGTTGCAAAATTCATATTTGGACAGAAATTAAGCTAGTTCAATACACTAAAACTACACCAAGAAGGCGTTGAATTTTGTTAACCATGGTTTTTGAGAACAAAATAAGTTAAAAAAAACTGATTTTTGTATCTCATACACGTAAAATATGAGACCCTTAGTTTTAAAGTACGGAAGGTCTTTGTAACCCCCGTGTTATTTTTTACAAAATTATTAAAGTGATAACTGATAATTTTTAGGGCATTATATATCATAAGCAATCTGTAGGATGTTGACGGTTGATTCTTTTCCATAAGTTACCTAAGTGGAATTTCCCTAATGGGATTTTTAAACCGACAATGAAGTCCGTCTTTTCTATGTCATGTCAATTCAATGGAACCCTACGAAAGCGTATGAACGGACAAGATAGTTCAAATTATGTAATCCCGATAAATAAGTCGGGATTATACGTATCTCGAGATGTAAGTGAGGATTAGACTTAATCCCGAGATATGTCGGGATTAGGGAATGCAATGCCGGGATCGCGGGATCCCGAAATACCGAGACCCCCAGCATTTTTGCGGGATTAATCCCGCACATAAATGGAGCGGGATCCCGCGGGATTTGCGGGACTGAGGAATTTGTTTACTTTGTTAATGAAACACATAACGGGGAAGTTATTTTTTAAATAATTGTTAAATTTTTTCGTTAAAAATGCACTATGATTTTTGAGGCACTTTAGAAGTTCACCTTTTTGTGCTTTACAGGTGAGCTTTTTTTGAGTTAGTTAGGCTGAATTAAGGTACTTTTTTGTTAAATATAGTGAGAATTAGCGATTTATTTTAATACAGAAGTTAACCACACAGAATTGCTTATTTGCCAATTTATTTAAAGTTTTGCGGGATCCCTCGGGATTAACATCTAACAATCCCGCAAATACCGTGATTGAGATTTTGCTGCAGGATTGCATTCCCTAGTCGGGATTATACTTAATCCCAAGATGTAAGTGAGGATTATACTTAATCCCGAGATATAAGTCGGAATTATACGTAATCTCGAGATGTAAGTGAGGATTAGTCTTAATCCCGAGATATAAGTCGGGATTATACTTAATCCCAAGATATAAGTGAGGATTATATAAGTATAATCCTCACTTACATCTCGAGATTACGTATAATTCCGACTTATATCTTGGGATTAAGTATAATCCTCACTTAGATCTTGGGATTAAGTATAATCCCGATTTATATCTCGGGATTAAGTATAATCCTGACTTATATCTCGGGATTACATAATTTGAACTACCTTGTCCGTTCTACGCTTTCGTACAACTGCGAATTCGGCGCGATGTACTAAAACGCTTGGGAAAAGTAATTTAGCATTTTTTTAATTTGTGGGGGATGTTGATTAACAACCTTAAATTATCTGTAATTGGTAGTCCAAGAACGTCATTCCGCCAGATTTTTTTAGAGCATTCGCGCTATGATCACCAGAGTACTACTGATACTAAAAAAGGCGGTGGCTTTAGGCTTTAATGATTTTTTTTTTGTTAAATTTACAAATTTATTTTAGAGTCATCGATAATTTATTCATTACTGAGCTAGCCGTGGTATTAATTACTTAATTACAACAAATGTACTGTTACAGTAAAATTTTTACCAGTGCCGTAGAGTGCAAAATTTATTTTCTACAAGGGCGGTTTCTAACCCCTGTAAATCTAACTAGGCCATGATACGTTAAGTCGCGTCGTCGTACTCGATCAAGACTAAATTCATTAAATGCGCTAGGATATTTCATCTCCGTTATCGCGAACGAACGTATAAAAAACTTTCGTATTAGGTTACTGCACCGTGAGTGAAATAAGGGGATTTGAACTTCGTGTTTTATTTGGAATACGTAAACCTAGATGAATATCAGTGTCCGCAATTGGAAAATAACATTAACAAAAGTTAGAAGTGTGTCGTTTAGTTCTCCTTTTTCTATAAAGACAATAAGTTTCTCGCCCTTTATTAAAGCTCATTACTGTTACGCTAGAACGTTTACAATGATAGCCTCTATAAAGTTGTCCAACAATATATGGTCGCTATAAAAATACGAGGGTTAAAGGCACGGCAAATTTCTCCCAGCAATTCCACAAAATGTTCCTCCCCCACTTTTTTTCGTTTTTCCAAAAATTATCTACACCCTATAAAACAACATGGAGTATTTGTCTCATGGGCTCAGTGTACTGAACTGTGTATATTTCTGTGGCTCGACGACGGTGTCCAAGGAGTAGTCGTTAGTACCATTCTCGGTACCAAGAAACGACGTCAAAAAAAGAGACTAAAAAATATCCATGCTGCGTTTTTTCGGAAACCAACTCATTCAAAAATACAAAAGTGGCACATGACACCTTTCGCCAAATACCTGATATACAACAAAAACCACTCATGCAACAATTCCTTTGTACTCACCAACCAATTCGAAATAGAAAACTATTTGCTTTGTTAATTAAATATGGATTTTATTTATTTCTATGACATGCATATTTCTTTAATGTTGCGCCGACATGTTTCCGTTATTACAGTAATACGCACTTAAATATTATGAAGCGAACGAAATGCATACCAGAAACCGCCGAAGTTTGAGAGCACTTTTTCGGGAAGTTAGTTTGAATGCGCACGTGGATTTGTAAACAATGGCAGGTGCCGTGGTTTTTAACGATGTTTACCCAATTTCGAATTTAAAAATATTCATGATCTAATTTGAATACTTGAAAGGTCAATTGCATACCTTTGTGAGGTGAGCGAGAAGTAGGACATTTTTATTAAAATCATCAAGCGATCCCACAATTATTTCGTCCAAACGTACGGGGCGTGCCCCAAAAATATGTAATACGCTATGCAAATTATTAACAAAACTGAGCACAAACACAATAATTATTGCTTCAAATGGAAAATTTTTAGCGTTGAAAAAATACAGACAATACCTGCCTGAATTCCGGTTGGCTATCCGCCCCTCTGAAGGTCCGAGACCAGGTAAAAAGGTATAAATTTTGTCTTTTTAATGCAGAGTGGACAGAAAAGATTTTCTCAAAAATCCTCCGTATCGATACAACCAATAATTTTCTTATTTGTAGAATATCTATACAGTGTGTTCACTTAAGTTCGCGGCATATGGAAAACTTTTTATTAATTAACATTAAGAGAAAACGTATTCTTCATAAAACGTTCTGCATGGTCTAAAACCTAAAATCATCATATTATTTGACATGGTTGCAGTTTAGGTTTCATCCATAATGTTTCATGAAGAATGCCCATTAACGGCAAATCGTGAACCGACTTGAATAAAAATGTTTAAATAATAACATTCGAAATTAAAAGTTGGTATTATACGTATACGAATTAGCCACTCGCGTGAGTGCGTCGGTTTCACTGCTTGTATTAATGCGGCCTCATTGCAGGATGTAATTGTAATGCATTCAATTCGCAGAGTAACCCATTAATTTAATAATTAAACTTGCAATAAATCAGTACCACACGTAAATTAACCAGCACCCACAGATCAATTCAAAATTAAATTATAAATACGTAAGCAAAAATCGCCATTTATTTTAATGCTCCATTGGATACGACTGCAAATTGCCTTGGAAATGACCCAAGTAAGTAATGAAATATATAATAAATAATAATAGTAAAAGCTCAAGTGTTACAAATAAATACTAATCTGTTATTAGGACTTTTTTAGACTAGTGTATACCGTACGTGTCAATTTTTTCGCTAAGTATAATTTTATTTTTATTTTATTTTATTATACCTCTCTTGTAATCGACAGTATTTTCAAGCAGCCTGTTTCGATTCTATCATACAACTGGCCGCAGTGTTAATAACGACAGTCAATAAATCTATGTTACTTTTCTTATGAAATGAAATATGTCTAAAGATTGAACCCTTTACGATATAAATAACAATAAGTGTCTGCTTGTGATCATTGGACAAATGAATATTAATCACAAATACTTATATTTATTGAAACGTATAAATCAAACTTGACATCCAACTAAGTACATTTCATTTATAAAGTGAATGGACCACTTCGTTGAATGCCCCTTTGAAAGTTTGCTTCTAATTTAGTTTCATTTAATTTTTTTGTCTTTATGATTCGCATTAACTTTTGACTACAAAGCATTCGGGTGAGGGAATTCAATATAATTCAAATCCCACCTACACCTTCTACCACTATGGTGGAGACACTATGGCTAAGAATACTGTCATACACAACTATATTGTTTTCAAATTTTGTAAATAATTGTCTGTCCGTGATTCCGGTCCAAATCTGCAATTTTGAATTACTTTGGGAAATTGCCCTGCAATCATAAAATTTTATATAACAGTTATAGGAGGTCAATCACGTCTATTTCACAGTAAAACATTAATAACCTTTATGGGATAAGGTGTTCATATAATTTCTTACATAACATGGATTGCGCAATATCTCTAATAACCACGATATATACAGGGTGGCAATTTGAAAACTTACCACCCCCTATGTCTTAGTAAATAAACGAGATATTTAAAAAAATCCGTTTCGATAA